ATATATATATATATATATATATATATATATATATATATATATATATATATATATATATATATATATATATATATATATATACATATATATATATATATATATATATATATATATATATATATATATATATATATATATATATATATATATGTATATATATATATATATATATATATATGTTATATATATATATATATATATATATATATATATATATATATATATATATATATATATATATATATATATATATATATATATATATATATATATATATATATATATATATATATATATATATATATATATATATATATATATATATATATACATATATTATTTATAAATAAAACTGCATATTTTTCACAACGATGAGTTTCATGCTAAATGCAATCATCAGGTGTAAATATGTTTTTTTTTTTCTCGTAAAAATAATAAATCTGTACACGGTTAGCAATAACTTGTTCTCATGGCGATATTTAGATATTAGTTCGTTTTTTTTGTTTAATAATTTTTGAGGATTTTTATACAATCAAATAATAAGTTTTTCGTATAAGCATAACAAGCATTTTTTGCTTATGTTGATGTACGTGGGGGCATATTTAATGATGGACGCGGGGGTATGTTTTATACGAATTTTAAATTGGGTGTTGCTTTGCTTTTACTTCGTGTATCCCATATATATTTAGAAAGCGTGGTTGCATTTGTGAGTTTTTCATTTTTGAAGGTTTGCTTGTGATCCGCCCATCTAGTTTTTCACACGCCCTCTGTTGAACCAATCTATGTTTTGTCGGATGTGTTTGGGAATGATGCAATGCACTTGTAAATTACATTTGTTTTTTTGCAATTTCCATTCATAGGGCAGATTTTGCCTAGTTTACAATTGCAAACTAAAATGGCCGTCGGGTTCATCGAAATATTTTTATTGTTGTGGTTTTTTTTAATTTTCGCTATGTTGCTTGTACAGCTGTAGCTGACTTTTGTTGTGTTACGGTTAAATAATTTATGAAGCGGATTTGGCTTTGCAAAGTGTTTGTCGATTAATTGTAAGAAGGTTTTGGCTATATTTGTGAAAACGTTTTTATTGTATGGTGGTTTAAACCAGATTATATTTCTTTTTCTTTTACGATTGGGGGTTACTTTGGTATCAATTTTAGGGTTGTATCTGAAGCTAAAATCTTTGAACCCATATCTTTTTAGGGTTTCGTCATATTCTTCCCTTGCCGAGTTGAATATTTTTCGTCAGAAGAATTCTAGGATAACCTATCGTTGATAGTAATCGGAATTTGTTTAATAATTTGTGTGGGGTGGTTGGACTCAGTGTAAATGTAAAGTAGGTTGCTATTTGATTTTTTTAAAGGATGATACGAGTCTTTTTCAAGGTTATATGTATCGTTTAAGAAGATAGCGATTGTTAGGTTTGACGTAACTTCTATTTTAAAGCCGATTGTTTTAGAAATTTTTATAATATTTTTTCGGATTCTATCTAACTGTGCGGCAGAGTTTTGACGCCTTATTATTAGTCCGTCGTCCCGGTAATAGCCCATGTTGCTGTTGGTAACAGTTTCAGATAATGAATATTGAGCAGCCGTGGCGCAGTGGTTAGAGTTCTGGCTCAGAACTCAGAGGTCCGAGGTTCGATGCCTGCCCTAGCCCAACAAGCGACATTGGTACGGAAGGAGGCGTAAACTTCCTGTTAAATGCTCACCCGCGGTGCACTATGATAAGACCGTAAGGACTTCTGGGAGCACCTAAATACATACAAAAATAATAAATAAATAAATAAATAAATAAATAAATATATATATATATATATATATATATATATATATATATATATATATATATATATATATATATATATATATATATATATATATATATATATATATATATATATATATATGTATATATATATATATATATATATATATATATATATATATATATATACATATATATATATATATATATATATATATATATATATATATATATATATATATATATATATATATATATATATATATATATATATATATATACATACTAACTAGTTCCCAAACCACCGCTCCATTGTAACAATATATATATTTATATATATGTATATATATATATATATATATATATATATATATATATATATATATATATATATATATATATATATATATATATATATATATATATATATATATATATATATATATATATATATATATATATATATATATATATATATATATATATATTTTAATTCAAATATATTCTGAATAAAGTTGTTCGTCAGGCTTATTTTGAAATAGTAATAAATGTATTTGTATTAAGTTTTAAACTTTAGGAAAGTGCTTTGAAAAGTTCTGAACTACAGGTTTCTATAACTAAATATTCATATATTTGGATCTTCATCCAAATTTCTGTAGGTCGGTTTCTGTAATATTTATCGACTGTAAACGTTTCTTCTGTAGAAATTTATTGTCGGTAATTTTCAAAAATGTTTTATAACATTAAAAAAAATCATTTACGTCGATAGAATTTACTGCTGGTAGCATTTTACGCCGATTAGAAGTTTTATTACATTGAAACCAGCTTACCGATACTAGTCTATTTCTAAATAAAGTTCCTATACAAAAATGTCTCACATAAAAAAAGTTTTATTAAAGTTTTTTGTTTACAAAAAAAGTGAAAATCAGAACTATCTGAAAAATCCTTTATACGGCTTATTAAAGACGAGCAACTGATTGACGTCTTTTCAACATTTCCTTGTCTTTTTTTAGGCTAATATCTAAAGACATAACACTTCATAAATAAGACGTCTTTTACTTATCTAAAATTATCTTTTTTTCCACTGGAAATTTGATATTATTTTATAATTATTTATCATAAAGATTTTACGGATATACAGATGTTGTCTATATTGATTTCCAAAAAGCGTTTGACTCTGTCTTGCATACCAAACTATAAGTAAAACTTGCATCCTACAACATAAAAGGTAATCTTTAAAATTGAAATTCCGTTTTTCTTACCAATAGATATCAACAAGTCAAGGTTGGTAATTCAATATCAAACTCTCTACGCAATGTTAGCGGAGTTCTACAGGGAAGTGTGTTAAACCCCACATTGTTTTTATAATATGTTAATGATTTAACCGCTATAAATAATAATCTGGACTGTTTTGAAAAACTTTACGCGGATGACATAAAGTTATATATTTCGTACCGTGATATAGGTCTAAGCCAAGATTTAGTTGTTGCTTTAAATTGACTTGTACAATGGGCAGAAACTTGGCAAGTAACAATTACTCGTAGTAGGTGTTTTGCACTTAGAATAGCACCTCCATCATTATGCAATGGTATAAAGATTTAAAAACGACTTAGTAACTTGCTTTAAAATTTTTTGTAAACTTTTCTGTACTGATCAATCTATGTTCTTTGTGATTGACAATATTAGTCACACCCGAGGTCATAGTTATAAAATATGCAAACAATCTTGTCGCTTGAATATAAGAAAATATAACTTTTCTTACCGAGTTGTTGACATATGGAACAATATGACCTCAGAGGCTGTAAATGCAAACAACATTTTAACGTTCAAAAATAAAATTAGATCTTTCAACTTTAACAATTATCTATTGTAAAAAGAACAACTATTTGTTTCTTTATAGTTTGTTAATTTTTTGTTATTGCGATATTTTTAAATTTCTTTGGGCACATTGTTAGTGTCCATCTTTTTATGGACCTTGTTGTTCTTTAGAACATGTATTTATACTTTGTTCTAATAAATATCAATTAATTAATCAATATTATAATAAAAAATTTCAAAAGAAATGCAACCTCATTAAATAAATGTTTGGATGGTTGAGCGTTAAACCTGCCTTAAAAAAAATTTAAAAAAGGAATTTGTGTTAAAAAAGGATTTACATAGTGTTTCTTTGCAAACACCAATATACTTTACTAGTGATAGATCGATTCTGTTTTCTGTGTTGGTTTCAGTGGAAATTTTAATTTGAAGCGATATCAAAGTTTCGGTTTTGTTACTTTTTACTAATTCGGTAAAAACCAAAATTTTAATAAAAAATCATACAAAAAACCGATATTTACCTAATGTAAAAAAAAAGTATATTTTGAGAATTTTCACAAAAATATTGAGAATTTGCTCAAAATATCTTAAAAAAATCTTGTTTTACAAGAAAATTTGCCAGACTTTTGAAAATTTGCCAGTTATATTTTGCTATAAATTTTAATTTTGTGTAATTAATTTTAACATAAAATCAGTATAAAAAAACAACAAATGTAAATTTGTCTTTATAAATAACTTTTTCTAATAAAATAAAATTAGTTTTGACTAGCCGAAATTTCGGTATTAATTTTAGCACCAAATTTGAGTACTCAAAATCTCGGTTTGTTTCCGTTTCTGCTTTTTTTTGTTTCAGTTGATCACTATACTGTAATTAAAACTTTGCACTAAACTGCGGTTTCTCTGAACTCTTGTAATTTCAGAAAATGCTTAAGGTAAGTTATATTAATATAATACAAATTATATTAAAAATATAGTTCAAACGACTTATGTATAACTAAATATTTATATTTCTTTTAAATATTTAAGGTATAGTATGTCAATAATACTTAGTAACATATAATTTGCGCGTAGTAAACAATTGATTAGCAAATCATTTTATAGTCCGTCCGTAGATGATTGTTGATATTATTTATTGGACCAAACTTGGCCCAACGAAGAAAAAAAATGCCAGTCTAGTGCAGATATGAAAGATGTTTGTGTGGAAACAAGTCCTAGTGTTCACTAGCAAAGAACAAAAATTCTATTTATTTAAATATGCATTAAAAAATACATGTGTGCGCGCGTGTGTATATAATATAAAATTATCAAATATAGCAAGTATCAAATTTTTAACTTTCCAAATTAAAAATATTTGTAATATAAAGAAACGCATTTAAAAACACTACTAGTTATAAAATTAACTGTATTAGTATGAATTATAGACATGGACGTACGTATAGGTTGCATTTTGGGTCACCACATTGTAACACGCGAACTATATGCTATACATAAAAATCAGATAACCTATTTGATGTTTCACAGCATAGTTAAAAAATGGCTTGCTGTAACTGATGACGAGTTTAAAACAAAGATCTCAAGAAACATAAATTGGAGTTTATTGAAAACATTTGAAGATGATTATGATCAAGTCGTTTCGTTTGGAACGAACCAATGGATGGGTTAGATTATTGTTATCAATTGTATTAGAATTAGATATATTACAGTTGATATAGAAGATATAAAATTATATATATATATATATATATATATATATATATATATATATATATATATATATATATATATATAATATATATATATATATATATATATATATATATATACTATATATATATATATATATATATATATATATATATATATATATATATATATATACATATTTACATATATAAATATATATATATATATATATATATATATATATATACATATTTACATATATAAATATATATATATATATATATATATATATATATATATACATATATATATATATATATATATATATATATATATATATATATATATATATATATATATATATATATATATAATATATATATATATATATACATATTTACATATATAAATATATATATATATATATATATATATATATATATATATATATATATATATATATATATATATATATATATATATATATATATATATATATATATATATTATATATATATGTATATTATATATATATATATATATATATATATATATATATATATATATATATATATATATATATATATATATATATATACATATGTATAACAATAATATAATAACATTAATAGCAATGAAAATAATAATGATAATAGTAGTAAAAATAATTATAATAGTAATAATAAAAGTTATAATAATGATAATAATAATTATTAATAATTAAATTTTTCTTTTTTACCTTTTAGCAAACAGAGATGGTTTATATTTCAGAAACTCTTCAGATAATAAATGGATTCAAAGGGCTAAATGGAATGTTTGAACGCAAAACTCAAACCAAAAAACAATATTTGTGCCAACATCTAAGCAACGACAGATTTGTTGGTTTGGTTAACGTTCTTTTTACGTTGTGTTGCGCTGCTCGTTAAGGATTATCTTATATATTTGGTTAATATCTCTGACTTATTTTTTAGTGTTACAAGTTTTTTTTTTATTTTTAAAATGTTTTCAGTCCTTAAACCTGTTTTTTTAGATTGAACATATAAATTTAGTATTATGGTTTATAAAGTAACATTATTTGTGTAACACTTTTTTTCCAATAAGAAGTATAAAAAAGAAACCTTAAAAATATTGTTTTTTTGCAGTAAAATAAAATAAATTATGAGGCAGACAAAGTATTTTAAATGAATTTTGATAGGAGTCTTGCAACTTTATATCATTTTCTAATTGTATAGTTTACTCTTTACCAGCCGCAAACAAGCTGTAAGAGTTTTGGTTCAATTGTAAAGCCCAATGTTTGATGCCAGCGACATAAGTAGAAATGAGGCTTCAACATTCTAATTAAATATATTTTAAAGGTGCTCTGTGATAAGAACACCGTTAAAATGCTCTGGAGAAGATTCTTAAAAAATTAATAAAAATAAATAAGTATTCGAATAAGGGTCAAGATTAATTTTATGTAATTATTATTATATCATGCCTGGCTCTAATTCTTACAATTCGACAACAATCATTATCAACTCGTCTTACCACAATATCCTCAATAGGGTTCAAATAAAATTCTGTTCGGTGAGCAGCATTTTTTACACTTAATTAATTGTTACATTTTGTAACAATTAATTTTATCTTGCTTAGTTTTCTCTTTTTTATTTCTAGATCATTTATTTACAAGTCGCCGATTAGCATTTACACTAATAACTTCATCAAAGACCAATATCATCCACTAAAGCTTTACTATTATCGATAAACACGTTAATAGTATATTAGTAATACGAGTAGTATTCCTTTCAGTAACAAATATTGTAAAAGAATCTAAGGAATTGCAATCTTTTCAAAAAAATCATTTTCTACAAAATTTAAAAAATATATACTATTCTTAATTTATAAAAATATTTTTAGAAACAAATAAGTAAAGAGATAAAAAAAAAAGCAAAAAACAATATTTAATCTAAATCAAAATAAAAATAACAAGATTCTACAATTTTAAAAACAATTAGGTAATCCCAGTTTTAGTAATGAAAATAAAAAAAAAATAATTGAATGTTTATTTTTATCTTCAAAATAAAAAAAAAAAAATTATTTATAAAAAATAAATTTTTTTACTAAAATAATAAATTTAAAAATGAATAAATAAAAATTGAATAAAGTAAAAATATAAAAAAAAAACAAAAAAAAAAAACAAAAAACAATGAAAAATACAGTAAAAATAGAGAAATAAAAATTGTGATTAACGGGGAAAAAAAAAGTACCCGTAAATCAAGCACTAGTAGTGGATATATATATATATATATATATATATATATATATATATATATATATATATATATATATATATATATATATATATATATATATATATATATATATTTTAACTCTTTTTACTATAACTAATGGCTTGATTAACTAAGTTTTAAAAAACAGCTTCTGTGTATAAAAATATTTAGGAAGATTGAGACGCATTTTAGTTTTCAATTTTTCAATTTTTTATTTATTTTTTGTTTATTCAAAATAACTTTTACAATAAAAGAACAATTGCAAAACAGCGGCTAGCCAGGGCGGGACAAGAACTGGCAGAACAACGATTAGCCATTTTTACATTTCATCATACTTTACCGTACCATCGTAATTTTGTCTTTTTTAACTAACTTGGTCGCGCCAAGGATTGTTATGGATTTTCATTGGGCAATCCTATTTGAAGTCCCTACATTTTCCTTATAGGCTCGGTCTTCACAACCTCACTGAAAAGCCTTTCTCTCCACATTAAAAATCAGAAGATCAAAATGTGATGTGATATAACTATACAAAACTATAACTGACTTGGCTGTATTGAATTGGTATAATGCACCAGTGTTTATAAAAATTTTTATTGCAAAAGACAACAATATGTTATATATAAACAACTATCCGAAAATTCAAACGGTCAACATTATTCTTTAATAAATAGAATGGCTGACAAATAAAACTATTTATAACTAAAAATTGTGAAAGCAAAAAACTTTTTAACACTCTACGACAAATTTATACAAAACTGTAAAAAGCTGTTAAAGTCTGGTGCCTACTTTTGTTAGACTATACACTAATAATGTGTATCACAACTTTGTTGGTTTATTTAATGTATATAAAAGTAAATAACTTAAATTAATAAATTAGCAAATTTATTTGAAAAGATAATATATAACAACTAAACTCCTCGAAAAAATAAAAATAGAATAAAGTCAGCAACAAATTCTTTAAATTATTTTGTTAAAAACACTTATATATTCAAATCTAGATATATAGACTTGGTAACTTTTCCTAAATAGTGCTTCATATGTTATTAATACTTTGGTTAAATGTTAAAAATGTTGAGTTTCAAGGTAATATATGCAAATTAGCTAAAACATGGTGTAAATTATTTTGTAGTAGTTAGGTAAAAACTTTTTTGATTGTAACTGTTTGAGATATCAAAAGGTAACTAATACTGATACTAAACGCTGTTGTACCAACAGCACCTAAAAAAATAAATTAAAAATCCATTTAATTTAACTAACTAAAAGATGTTTTAGTAGAACCAACAAACTTTCGATTAGTTGTGCCAAAAGCGTATAGCCCAATAACATAAGTTGTGTTGGGTGTTTCTCTTAATATTTATTTTTATCTAGTTTTTATTTTTTTATGATAAACTCTTTTTTCTGTTTTTTTATGAATCTTCGTAAAACGATTTGTTTTATTATAATATAATTTTAATTAACATTATCTTTTTAAAAATAGGATAAGTTTCATTAATTCATGGTTTTTCTTAAATATCTTTAAAAAACGGCTTCGCATAACTTTTTTTTCATTTTCCTGAGAGTAAGGATATATGTAACGTTTATAAAAAAATTATAATAATCAGCCCACGCCAAAAAGACTATATTACTCAACACTGATTTTCTGTAATTTTTTTTTTTAGTTTATATTTTTACTATATCTAGATTTTTAATATCTAAACTTTCTGCTTTATTAACTAACAAACTGCTACGTCCTTTTTAACTGGTTTATATAGAATTTGAATTTTTATTTAATTATATCACAAGTACACTTGCTGTTTGTTGAAATATTGCATGACTAATGAAAACATTTCAAATCTTTGAAACGTTAAATATTTGGTCGATTACTAACATTTTAAAACAGTAAATAAAATTTGAAATAATTCTTTAGAATCAATATCTGTGCAGGAAGTACAATAGTACAAACTTTTTACAACGCTAAAGTATATACCCAAGGTAAAGATTTACCAAAGGTATATACTTTAGAGTTGTAAAAATTGTGTATGTAACGTCACTTTAAGTTTTCTTAAATTCTCCTTATGATATTTACACCAAGGTTGTTCATTTTACAATAGGAGTAGATAGAAGTAAGGAAGGAGACTAGAGGTGTCTTTTAAAAAGTTACATAATGCAATTTTGTTCACCTAAAAATGGTGCTTTTTATTATTTTTACTTAAAAAAAATCAATCTTATAAACTGGACAAAGGTTAAAAATAGTAAATTATTTTATTATGAGTACTACAATTAGTACGTTCATATAAATCAGACAACTATTTATACATCTTTTAATGCTATTGCAAAAGTGTATATATATATATATATATATATATATATATATATATATATATATATATATATATATATATATATATATATATATATATATATATATATATATATATATATATATATATATATATATATATATATATATATATATATATATGATATATATATATATATATATATATATATATATATATATATATATATATATATATATATATATATATATATATATATATATATATATATATATATAAATTCAACTTCCGCTATTGAAGTGAATAAATGTTTTTTTGAATTGGATGCTAAATATATACAAGAAATATAAAAAATGATAAATATTTGGTTTCATCGCTTTTGTTTCAAGTTTTTTTGATTACTATATAGATATAACTTAGTTTACTTTTTTTTTTAAATATTGTTTTTGGTGATAAAAAAAAATATTCATTACACTTGTAAGACGTCACACGACTTAAAAATTGGCTTTAAACATAAATTAAAATTGCTTTTTTGCCGTAAAATCTATACATAAATCAAGAAAATATGTTATAAACAAATTAATTTTGTTTAAAAACAGTTTAGCAATCAATAACTAGTTTATAAAAAATAATTTTACACTCTGTGCATAAACTATGTAACTGTTGATCAACTCTTTCAACCCCTTCATGTGAGTATTACATGATTGTACTACTTATGGTTTGTTTATTGCAGAGTCATTTGCAGAGGTTTTATAAGTGTCAATTATTTTTTCTAATTGGCAAGTTGACAACATATACCCAACTTTTTGCTTTTTTCCTGACTTATTTTTAAAAGTTCAATACTTACATGGAATAACACGTGAATCAAGTATAGAGCGATAGAATACAGCTTCCCCGTTTTCTAATGCAAACTCAGCAATTCCTTTACACTACTTTTTTTTATTCAATTTAACTGTACCACAAAGATGTGTAATACTTTCTAAAAGAAAAGTTGCTTAAAAAGGGCTTTTGTAATAGTTATCTGTAACAGTATATGTCCTTTGTCTAAAAATAGTTCCATATCATTGCTATTATCATGCATAACTATTATTAAAATTTCTTCCATATTTGAATAAGTTTTTTTACAACTAAGCATTTTTTAAAACAGTTTATCTTTTGAACTAAAATAAATTTTGACAAAGGTTTTAAGCCTATGGTGTAAAAATTATTATTTTTTCCATATCTGTGAATAACATTGCAGAATACGTTATAAAACCGTTTTTAAATCGGGGACAAAATAAGAAAAGATAACAAATCTATCGAATGGAGTTTTATTATCACAGTTGCAGAGAGTTAGGAATAAGCTACATAGTGAACAAAAATCAGCTCAATAGCGTTTTTTAAAAGAAGTTATAGAAAAAAATTGAATTTAAAAGGTTGAAATTAGGGTGAAGCAAACACTTCTTGAAATATTTAGATTAAAGAAACATAACATTAGTACTTACATCATTATTTAGACTTTTGAATATTGACTTAGAGCAATTCATGTTTATAGTTTAATTAGTTTATTATCTAAACACTCACTC